GTGTGTGCTTGTCCTTACTTCCTTCAGTGAGGATCAGTGATGTGGAAATGTAAGGTAAACAAACCCTTTCCTCTCCAGGTGGCTTTGGTCATGGTGTTTTCATCACAACAATGATGACCCTAAAACTAAGACACTTACCAAATTCAAATACTGCTGTTCCTAGGAAGACAGACTCCCCGTAAAGAAGAGTGAAGGTCTGGTGCTTGCATGTATCAGTGAGTTAACTGGTAAGATTGAAAGTCGTTACTCTGTACCTTAGATTCCTGGAACTTCACTTTCAGGTGGTGGAAGCATCAGTTGGCTCTGAAAGTGAATTTGCCTTCAGGAGCTTCGAAGTAGGAGGCCCCCAGGAAGGGCCTTAGAATCTGTGTTTCCCCGAGGCTGTTTTGAAAAGAAGGGAAAGTGGCGCTTCCTGTTTTCTTTCTTAACCAGAGGAATCTGTTTGGTGTCAGCACAGAAGGAAAGTACTTTATAGATGAAAGGAGCAAGTGTGGCCGAGACAGCTGCTCCCTACAGGGATAGGACAGTTGTGGCTCTTAGGCCCGAGGGACAACGGTGCTTCCCTTCACCTTGTCTTCCTAAAACTCTCGTTCTCAGATGTGAAATTCTAAAAGTGAGGTATACAACTTCCAAAAAGCCTTTATCATGGCCAGTCCTGGGCCCTCTAGAGTTCTCAACTCTTTCCTTGCTCCACGTTGTCTCTTAAGTTGTGTTAAATTACAACGTGAAGCTGGATTTGGCAGTGCAGCCTGTAATCCCAGCCCTTGGGAGGCGGAGGCAGGAGGATCAGGAGTTCAAGGTCAGCCTAGCCTGAGCTGCATAAGACCTGTCTTAACTCCCCTCCCCACATAAACAAACAAAAAAGAAATACATATGTTTGCATCTAAAACTAAGAAATGCATATGTTCATATATATTATGTGGGGTATGGAGGCTTTGAAATAGAGAGAGAAGAAAAGCACACATAGTCTATCTACAGATGGTTGCAGTGAGCTTCAGACCACAAAGATCTTCTAGGAAGATAATGGTGTAGCTCCTCCTTTCCTTCATCTTTAGACACGCATGTGTGCTCGGGAGGGGTTCTGCTTTGTCCTCTCTGTCCTCTCCCCCGAAGGGCTGATATTGGAGACACTCTTCCACGTATGAAGGGTTAAGGACAGCCAGCTCTGAGTTGTTAGTTTTATTTTCAGAGGAAAAACCCAATGAAAGTAGCCAGTTCTGTGATGTGTTGTAACAGAGCAGTGTTGCAGTGTTTTGCCTGTGGAATGGAGGAGGCCCCTCTTTGCCCTTCACCGAGGTCAAAAGATTAGATTTGTGTTAAGAATTGCAAAACTTCAAAAAAAAAAATTCAAGCCTTATTGACCTCAAGGTATGCTCATGCTCATGACCATGGGTGGACCCAGAAGTCGGGACAGGGCTTGGCTCATAAGCAATACTTGAGATAATTTTTGTTTTGTTTTTTTGAGACAGTGTCTGATGTAAGTATGGGAGCTCAGATTGTCATAGGTTGGCCTCATTATGGATGTTGGCCTTGAACTCCTGATCACCCTGCCTTCACCTCCTGGGGCAGGCGGCCCATCCTGCTAGGCTTGGCTTTAGGAATGGTTTAATGCCTTTGATTCTTCCCACGTCAATCGGAGGTGCGTCTTTGGGATGACAGCTTCTTTTTGATCACCTGTGTTTACATTTAGCTATTGGAAAATGCTGGAAGCTTGGTGTCTGCGTGAGTCACACGAGGGTGGGAAGTGTCTTGCTTCTCAGCTCGTCCCTTTCTGGCAGTTCCTAGGCGCACCCTGGTCTTGGACTGACTCAGAAAAAACACTCAGCTGCTTTAGCTTTAACGAGGTAGCTTCCACCCATCCAGCTTTCTGGAAATGCACAGCTTCTTGAGCTGTAATCATGACTGTGGGAATCACTCTGCAGTTGTCAGAGGTTTTTCTGGCCAGGGAACTTCTCTTGCCAACTTTTTCCTCTAAGAATATCTCCCTTTTATGTCTGCTCAGTCAGGAAGAGATACCTGCATCTCATGTTCTTCGCTGTTTTGAAGAAGGCAGCGTGGTTAAGGGAACGGGAGGGGTAGGTGCTTAGCTCCAGACCTAGTCACCAACCACAGTGCTCTGAAGATTTTATAGGATGGAAAGTTCCTGGTTACTTAACACTTGGCCCTGTTCTGTCCTGGCACTCTTCCTGGCTGGGTGATTTTGGAGGTCCCCTTATGTCGTCTCTGTGTACAATATATGATGTCAAACATATGGTTTTCCCAGGGGTGAGTCAGTGTGAATCTCTATATCGTTGGTCCCTTGTTTTAACCTTTCTTCCTGTGGTGTCATCAACCCCATTTCATCTTCTGCGTTTTGTTTTCTTTGCCTTTGTGAGCCACTGAACTATCGGTTCCTAAACTCAGACTTCTGCTGTCCCGAGGCAGTGAGAGGTTTGGTGCAATAAGGTAGCAGCTTGAAGAGCACCACAGCCAGACAGCAGTGTGCATCTCAGGTGTGGTTGGGTCATCTGTTAAGTTTTATGTATTTATAGAGACTTATGCATTACAATGTTTTATAAGCCAAGTCATTCTAATGTAAGTTACATATGGGAATTGGTGTTCAACAAGGCAATAAAATGTGTAAAATAATTTCAGTAAACAGTATTTCATACCCAGTCTGACAACAGTGAGGTTTTTCAGAACCTATACACTTGTCTTAGATTAAGTTTATAGGTTTGCATATGTGCTGGCTAGTTTTATGTTACCATTGGAGAGGAGGAAGCCTCAACTGAGAAAAAGCCTCTGTAAGATTGGGTTGTAGGCAAGCCTGTAGGGAAATGTCAGGAACTCGTCGGATTGGGTGGTAGGCGGTTAGGCTTTGCTCCCTTTTGACACAATCCAACATCCCATTGCTAAGAAAGCACCATCTAAAGACCACACAGGCGTTTGTGTGCCTGGCAGCTCGTGTCAACCGTGGCAGTAGCTAGCATGAGGGAAGTGCACAGATTTGTATATATAATCAATATACATGGATTGTATCTCTACATATGCACCGTACTGCTTGACCACCTCCTCCCCCATGGGAATCTGATCTCAGAGAAGAAAACATCTGATGGCCTAAGAAGCAGATTCTTTTGGTGATTAAATGACCAGGAACCAAAGTTTCATGCTGTTTGGGTTTCTAGTCAAAGTGAATGCGATCTCGATGCATTGGGGAGATTCTGGTTAATACCGGAATGAAAAAGGATGACAAGGACAGCTACCACCGGGACACCTCCTTTTGGGAGGATTATCATGTGTGTATCTAACTCACACACCCTCATAGTATTTATGGCAGCACTGCCGGCCAGACCCCCTGTAGCTCTGCCTGTGCGAGGTCAGGTCCTGAATCTGAGTGAGATTTCCCCCGTGAGAAGAAGGTGCACAGTCTTTCCCTCTTAGAATTGTCCTAGAAACATTCGTTAAAATGTTCCATAGGTTCAAAGTGTAATTTTGTAACTCACGAAGGAAGTTTTTATTTGTTTGGTGTTTTGAGATAGTGTTTCCCTGTGTAGATTTGGAGCCTGTCCTGGATCTAGCTCTTGTAGACCAGGCTGGTCTCGAACTCATAGAGATCCGCCTGCCTCTGCCTCCCTAGTGCCTGGATTAAAGGCGTGTGCCACCACCGCCCAGCCAGGAAGGGATTTATTAACTTAGGTGGCTCTCTCGAATGCCTGCTGTGCGCCAGGCTCCTTTCTGAAGCAGAGCAAGCATTAGTGACTGAAACTGACAATGTGTCTCTAAGGGTTTAGAACGTGTCAGAAGTGGTGGCTGAAGGTGGTCAATCCTCTGATCACTGCCACCAGGTAGGGAGTCTCACCTTTTACAGAGTCACATAAAAAAAAAATGAGAGGGAAATAAAAGCTGACACTAACCTGACTGCTTTTATTTTTTCTTTTGGAGACAGGGTCTCATTATGTAGCTCTGGCTGTACTGGAATTCCCTATGTAGACCAGGCTGGCCTCAAACTCACAGAGATCCACCTGCCTCTGCCTCCGAGTGCTGGGATTAAAGGTGTGCGCTATACACCTGGCCCCTGACCACTCAGTATTTTGCTGTGTCTCACTGAAAAATTTTCATTTTATGTGTACGTGTGTACTCCAGAGTGTGTACACTGTGCATGTGTGTGCAGGAGCCGGAGTGTGCCAGAAGAAGCGTCAAATCAGACATAACTGGAACTGGAGTCCCAGTTGTGAGCCACCATGAGGGAGCTGGGGACCAAATCTGGGTTCTCTTCAAGAGCAGTCAGAGCTTTCAGCCACTGGGCCATCTCTTCAGCCCTCGGTTTCTATTGTGCATATCTAGAGGTGTGTGTACGTGTACTATTAAATTACTTATTCTCTGGCAATTTCAGACACAAATACAGATGTCACCTCTTCATCCTCCTATTACCCACAGAGTCGATTAGTCCTGCCCACTAATTGTGCAAGAGTGTGGGGCCATCTACTCCAGCCTGGGCAGACTGCTGGGGCCACACCTCTGAGGAAAAGTGACTCTGGTCTCTCAGCTGCTATCACCTGCTAAAAGCTCTTCAGTTAAGGGTGGGGCCTTGTGAGCCCCTCCCTTCTCCATACTTGGAGGAATAATGGCTGACTTGATCTCAGGCGAGTTATTTTAATATATGCATATATGTATACATACGTGCTGGCGAAAACATGCAGGCGCACACGCGCGCACACACACACACACAAGCTTGCTGATTGGTCCATGCTTATTTTTACAACATCCTATAGGTCAGGGCATTTCACTTGCAGGGCTTTAGATAGCTCAGCTGCTGTTGGTGGCTGTCAAGGTCAAAGCTGATCTAACAGGTTTCCTACCACTTAATGCTTCCTGTTCTTCCCACAACCAGATCTTTTCATGAATCTAGGACTCTCAAAGTTTCTGAGTATTCCAACTGTAAATATTTACCCGATGTCCTTGTGCAGAGTGAGGTTTCTGAGTGTGATGACGCTAACAGTGTAAACATTCTTTCCCTCTAGGTTGGTGGATGACCGCTGTGTGGTACACCCAGAGGCAGGGGATCTTACCAACCCCCCCAAGAAGTTCAGAGGTAAGAAAAGAATTGAGAAGGAGTGACTTAAGAGGGTAGATTATTTTTTGTCGTTAGGTAAATAATGTTAAATGGTACTGAGTGTGTCATTCCCAGTTCCCCCACAGGGTTTTGTTGTTGTTGAACTTTGGGGGATCGCTGATCAACAATTATCTGAGTTTTGTTTTGCAATGTCACTTTTACACACTGATAAGAAACCTTGGCGGCCGGGCGTTGGTGGTTCATGCACTCGGGAGGCAGAGGCAGGCAGATCTCTGTGAGTTCGAGGCCAGCCTGGTCTCCAGAGCGAGTGCCAGGATAGGCTCCAAAGCTACACAGAGAAACCCTGGCTGAAAAAACCAAAAAAAAAAAAAAAAAAAGAAAAAGAAAAGAAAAAGAAAAAAGAAAGAAAGACACCTTTAATCCTAGGCATGAAAGATGGCTTTTCAAGCCATTCAGTAAGAACTAAAGGCTACCCATTTACAGATTTCTGTGGCAGTCATATTACAAAAGTTATGATATTTTACTGGCAGCTTGTTAATTGTCTTCATGAAAGTCCTGTGCTGCATGAATGTGGCTTTCAGAGTCACACCTTGAGGCTTTGTGGTAACTAACTGTTGTCATAGAGCTTCGTTCCAAGTGAACTCTTAGAAGTCTCTTCATGGTCTCCTTGGCTGAGAAACCAGTTGCAGCAGCCTGTTGTTTAGAACTCAGCTGCTGCAAAAGGATTAATGGGATCTGCAGAACATTCTAGAAAACAGAAACTAGTCATTAAAAACATCATAACAACATGCAAACATTAAAAGCTATAAGAGAGAACTTGTGATACTGATCTTTCTGAGCTGGAGTGCCTCACTTAATACATGTGTTAGTTAGGTTTCCTCTTTTTCTCCCTCCCTCCTTCCCTCTTTCTTTCTTTCTTTCTTTCTTTCTTTCTTTCTTTCTTTCTTTCTTTCTTTTTCTCTCTCTCTCCTCCCTCCCCTTTCTCTCCTTTTCTTTCTCTCTCTCTCTCTCTCCCTCCCCCTTCCTTCCTTCCTTCCTTCCTTCCTTCCTTTTCAAGACAAGGTTTCTCTGGGTAACCACCCTGGCTATTCTGGCACTCACTCTGTAGACCAGGCTGGCTTTGCACCACCACCTGCCAGGCTTTGGGGAGAAAGGGTCATATTAGCTCACAACTCTTGGTTACACTCAATCACTGAAGGATTCAGGGCTGGGATTCGAAACAGAAGCTGATGCTGAGGCCATGGAGAGGTGCTGCTTGCTCCCCGTGGCTTGCTCAACCTGCTTTTTTATACAACCCAGGCCCAGCTGCCCAGGACTAGCGCTGCTCACAGTGGGCTGGCCCCTCCCACATCAACTACTAATAAAGATAATGCTCCTTTACAGGCCAGTCTGATGGAGACATTTTTTTTCTCAATTGTGGTTCTCTCTTCCCAGATAACTGTAGCTTGTGTCAAGTTTACAAAAAACAAAACAAAAACAATGCCCCCAAACCCAACCAGGAGAATATAATAATGTCTAGATCCACCCATTTCCCTACAAGTTTCATAATTTCATTTTTGTTTACAACTGAGTAAAATTCCACGGTGTATATATGCCGAATCTCATCATCCGTTCATCTGTTGATGGGTACCCAGACTGTTCCATTTATCAGCTATTGTGAACACACCAGCAATAAACATGGATGTGTACATTTCTCTGTTGTAGCTATAGAGTCCTCTGAACATAAAATCGGGAGTGGACAGCTGCACCTCATGGTAGCTTTATTTTTATTTTAGAAATCCCCATATTGATTTCCTAATGGCTATACAAGTTTATCCTCCTCCCAGCAGAGAACAAGGATTCCTCTTTCCCCAATTTTCTCTTTTACAAAACTTACTTTGTTGTGTGAATGCATGCACATATGTGCTCCTGAGTGTGCCAGTATGTGTCACATGTGTGCTGTGCCCACAGAGACCAGAAGAGGTGTTAGATCTGTGGTTACAGGTGGTTCTGAGCTGCCCCATGTGGGTGCTGGGAATTGAACCGAGTCCTTTGCAAGAACCGTAAATGCTTTTAACCACTGAGCCATCTCCCTAGCCTTGCCATTTTATTTGTTCTTTTTTTTTTTTGATCATAGCCATTTTGACTCCTATGAGATAGAATCTTAAAGTTTCCATTTGCATTTTCCTTGCATTGGCCAAGTATGTCGAACGTAAAATGTTTATTTGTATAATGATAGTTTGTGTTTCTTTTTTTGGGAACTATTTATTTCACCAGTCCATTTATTGATGGTAAGTTTTGTTTCATTCTCTGTTGTGGTGATAGATTACTTATTATTTACTAAAGCTTGCATGAAGATTCAGAAAGCAAAGTCAGCCACAAGCTATAGAGATCAGATAGTGGGGATACACACCTTTAATCCCAGCAGCCAGAAGCTAGGAGGTGGTGGTACACACCTTTAATCCTAGGAGTCAGGATTAAGAGGTAGTTGATCTTTGTGAGTCCAAGGCCACCCAGATCTACACAAGAGTGATCCCAGTCCTAAAGAGAAACAGCTCACAAGAAGATGATCTCAGCACCTGGGATCACACACCTTTAATCCCATCACTAGAGGGGTATAAAAGATGGGAGCAGGGTCTTCAGTAGTCAGTATCAGGCAGTCATTCTCCAGCCACACTGAGGATAGGAAGATACTGAAGTCTTAGGATTCTCTAGCCACGCCGAGGAGAGGTTACAGTCTGCGGTTTGGTGGAGCCAGGATTGCATTTCAGTCTGAGGTAGAGTAAGAGCTAGTGGCTGGCTGCTTTGCTTTTCTGATCTTCAGCTTGAAGTTTGAACCCTAATATCAATCTCTGGGACTTTTACTTTTTGTGCTATACTCTGTGTGATTGAATCTTAGGGTTACTATTACTGTGATGAAACACCATGACCAAAAGCAAGCTGGGGAAGAAGTTTATTTTGCTTACACTTCCACAAGGTAGTTCATTGTTGAAGGAAGCTAGAACAGGAACTCAAACAGGGCAGGAACCTGGAGGCAGGAGCTGATGCAGAGGCCATGAAGGGAGTTGCTTACTGGCTCAGCCTGATTTTTTATGGAACACAGGACCACCAGCCCAGGGATGGCATCACCCACAATGGGCTGGTCCCTCCTCTATCAATCACTAATACCCTACAGGCTTGCCTACAGCCCCATCTTATGGAAGCATTTTCTTCCCCCCCCCCACCTTTTTCAAAATTTAAATTAGAAACAAGCTTGTTTTACATGTCAATCCCAGTTCCCTCCCCCTCCCCTCCTCCCCTGCCCCCCACTAACCCCCATCCCATCCCTTTTCTGCTCCCCAGGGAGGGTGAGGCCTTCCATAGGAGATCTTCAAAGTCTGTCATATAATTTGGAGCAGGACCTAGGCCCTCCCCCGTGTGTCTAGGCTGAGAGAGTGTTCCTCTATTTGGAGAGGACTCTCAAAGTCCATTCCTGTACTAGGGATAAATACTGATCCACTACCAGAGATCCCATAGATTAACCAGACCTTCAAACTGCCATCCTCGTTCAGGGGGTTTGGAACAGTCCCATGCTGGTTTCCCAGCTATCAGTCTGGGGTTCATGAACAACCCCTTGTTCAGGTCAGCTGTTTCTGTGGGTTTCTCCAGTCTGGTCTTGACCCCTATGCTCATCACTCCTCCCTCTCTGCAACTGGATTCCAGGGTTTCAGCTCAATAGTTAGCTGTGGGTGTCTGCTTCTGGGTCCTCTGTGATGATCCTAGCTTGTATCAAGTTGACATAAAACTAGCCAGCACACAGTTGTTTATATATGCTAACTTCCCTGTCTGGGGTATGGCTGGTACAGAGTGTGCTTCATTCTGCCCATTCATTCTGACGATGGATGTCTTTGCTGTTCGAAACTTTAACTTTTCATAGTTCCATTTTTCCGACCTTACACCGTCTCATGATGGTTCAAAGAGAATAGTCTAAAAGGCAAACTGGGACAAGGCAGTGTTTGTAATAGGGAGAGGCATGGATGTCAGGGTTTAACCGCACTGTCTGAGAGCTGTGTCATCTAAAGTGGGTCACCTGTCAGGGGCCTCTGAGGGCATCTGTCACTGTCCCTTGAGAGTTGAGCTGAATAGCAAGAACAATGCTCATTGCTCAGGGTTTGCAGGCTCTTCAGTCTTCCCAGGGACAGCCATTGCAGATGAAGTTACATTATACAAATGTATAATAAAAAGGCATAATGCATTTCCATCAAGTGTGTTTGGCTCTATCCCTTTACACCCTACCCTCTTCTGGGGCAGAGTTTTCTTTCATTTTATTTTTGTTTCTCAGTCATTGAATTTTACCCATAGAAGATCCTCCCCCCCCCCAAAAAAAAACAACCCAGCCATTGGATGCTGTGGGCTGAGACATCCAAGCTCTCTCTGGGATCGTGTGATCAAACTTGGTTCCCAGGGGTGTCCCAGGTCTCCTGCTGTGAGTCTCAGCAGCCGGATTCCCAGGGGGATTTTGTGCCCCTCAGCAGGTTGTGTGCCAGTGCAGCTTATTCTGTTGAATGGGAAAGGTTGAAGCTAACAGCTCTGTGCCCAAGAAGCAAACAGATTCAGATGCCTGGGCCCCTGTTACCCAGTGGGCAGGGCTTCAATGTGTCAATCACCCTGAGCTGGAGCCTGGTTTTCCTGTAATCAGACTCTCGGCTCCTCTCCCTGCTGGTTGGCAGTCAGTTCCTGCTCCCACTTTAAAGCCAATCTGTCTCTCCAGTTTTCATCAGAGAAGGGTGTCCATTTTTTCCCCCCAAACCCCTGCTGCATTTGGTCACCTTGTCTCATTCATTGTCTCAGGGTTGCAATGCTTCGGTGTTTATTGACTTTGCCCTTGATATTTTTGGAGATTACAGCCAGGCATCTTATTGACTTTCTTTTGGCTTGGCTCTTTGTGCTGTTTTGGTTACAGTTCACTTAGCTGGGGGTTAAAGTCTGGAGACTTACAGTACAGAGGTTATGTGTACGTCTCTGTATCACACAGGCCATAATGTCAACATGATTTATTA